AAAATAAATATGAGTCAAAATATAAAAACCGTGCTTGTGCCTCAGTGTTATGATGTGTCTTCAAGACGGAAATTACGATATAATTATGACTTAAAACCCCGCAAACATGTAAAGGTATGTTGGTGTTTAAATTAAATACATTTGATTATTTTATTATTTCTTGTTCTAAATATACAGGTGATACCGCTGTTCTGGATTTGAAGCATTGAAGACGCTAGGCATCACGTGAGAAAACCACACACGAAAAATGTTCGCATAAAATACGGCAAAAGGTATGTTGGTGTTTAAATTAAATACATTTGATTATTTTATTATTTCGTGTTCTATACTACAGGTAATGTCGCTGTTGTGGACTTGAAGCATTGAAGATGCTAGCGATCACCAGATCTGCAGATCCAGTGAGAAAAACCACACACGAAAAATTTTCGCATAAGAGACAAGTAAGGTTGTCTGAACCTAATTATTCGTCTATTAATATAAAACTATTATCTGTATTTTTTTATTTTTACCAGTTTAATTTTGGTTGATTTCTATTTTGCGAGAAGCATGTTTTCTTGGATCGAAGGAAAGCAACAAAAGTAAAATGAAAGTAACGTATCAATGCAAATTGCTATACCTAACTGTATTTCTACACAATAGAATAATCTGTGGATGAACGAAAAAACTCTTCTATCAATGTAAAACTATTAACTGTATTTTGTTGTTGTGACCAATATTAAAATTTGTAATTGTTTAGAGAATTTTTGTTAAGAGCACATTGCGAAACACGTTAATTGATCGAGAACAAAATGAAAGGGCAAAAGCCACAGAGCGGGAACATATAAGGAATATAAAATAATAAGTGCAGTTTTGTAGATAAAGGTTTGTGTTTCATCTCACAGTCACACATCATTGCGACAACGGCAAAAATGCTGAAAATGTTAATTTAGATTTTTAGTCCGTAGTTATAAGTTATATTTTAATTTATTTATTATCCATTTAATTAGTTTTAGATTAGTTGCAAGTAACTCTTGTAGTTGAAAAATCACATCAGTAAATACTTAAATATGTGAATAAACTAATAAGAGGAAATAAAGTATCGTTTTTCTTTCGTTACATATATGTATGTATATTCCCTGAACATACCATATACATTCACTGAACATACACATGTACATTCACTGAACATACCATGTACATTCCCAGAACATACCATGAACATTCAGTGTATTAACTCTGACAGATTCCTGGGACATTCATAAAATGTTCATAATGTAACTCATGTATGTCCCAGGAATATAATAATATAATATAAGGTATATTCTGGGAATATAATTTTGCTATGTGGGTTGTGGCTCAGTGCATGCTTTATTATGCCTGCTCCTACCTGGCTCATAGTAGCCGCTGATGAAGGCAATTTTTGAGGATTTGAGGCCCCGTCCATCGGAACTGCTGTGCATAGTCAGCGCTAGTTGCCCGATTTCGCCTCCATCCCTCAAACTTTGCTCACTATCGGACACTTTCACCGTCACCCGATAGTGGCCCTCTGAAAACCATTTTCCAAAATTAGGACCTGCAGGAAAAACCCAGCAGAACCAGACTAACTGCAAAACGGCCTGGAGCTTCCAGTAATCAAGTACTGGTTGAGACTGTAGTTCATTCCAGAGCCATAAAGGGCGTCGTACTGCTTGTAGCTGTGGAACCCGAACTTTAGGCATTTTTCTCCGTATTTTCCGCAGCTCCAACACTTTCCATCGATGAAGTCCTTTGATAAAAAAACAGCGAAGTACAGGGAGAAAAGGTAAAAGTTAATAGAGTTAAACCTGGATTGATGAGCATTGTACGGACGTAAAGGAGCACTTCGGATTGATGCTGTCCAGGAAAATGTGATGGGAGCGCACGTGACTGCAGGCCAAATAGGTTTTAACACCTGCAAAAAGTCGCTTCAATTTCCAGCGGAAAATCGGATCGATGTTTTGTACCTTTCATAAAGCTTCCTTTTTCGTCTTTGATAAATTGGACTACGCTCTTATCGCACCCCGGTTGGTTGCTGCCGCCATTTGGGAAATAATCTACGTGACCTGAAAACTTTGCCTGAATAGAACATAATTTTCTCGGAGTTTCCTAATTTTCTCGGTTTTCACTCAATTAAAGGGCAAATTCTACTTCGATTCCATATCAGATGCATTTGCCATCCGTATTTTTTGAACCAAATGAAAAGATTTGATGAGTGAGTGGGTAAATTGGTGGTCACTAAAACTCGCAATAAACCACGCCAGAAATTCAAATTTTAAATGGAAAACTACAAGTTTTTGATTCTGCCTGATCTTTGCATCAATTTTGGTTCAATATAAGTTCGCCTTCAATAATTTTCGATTCATAGATCAAAAAAATTATGATTTGCAGTGATGGTTCACAATTAAAGTCTAGGCAGGAACGTTTAAGGCAGTTTTCTGAGCAAATTACTTCGTTTCATTTGTTGCTATTTCCTAGATTGTTGTTTATTGCTTTTCTAAAAGGCTCCATTAAACGGCAAATGAAAAGAGAGGTTTTGAGAATAAAAAACGATTTCAATAAAATTGCCGATATTCTTGAGCAATCGTGAACTTTGTGAAAATCTCTTGTTAAGAAGCGGTTGAATATTTTTTTCGCAAAGCTCTAATTGCTAGTCGTCGTTCTCTTCAGTGAGCGCATGAACAAATTTTGGTGTGATAAGGATTCTCTGTATTCACTTGCGAGTCATAAACAGCCATAAATAAACAAAGCAGGAGAAACCGCCAAATATAAATTATTCGAAATCGAAAACTCCAAATAAATCGAATAACAAATTCGAATTCAGGCAGAGAATAGAGTCAAAACTGAAATATCAGAAAGCGGAAGCACCGAATATCTGCACAGTCTCAAAATGAACATAGGAAACAGAACAATTTTATAAATAACAAATAAAAACAAAAAATCAGTCAATCAAATGAAAGGAAAAATAACAGCAAATTAGGAACTTTCAGTAGTACAAGGTAAAAATAAAATTGAGTAATTGCAACCAGCTAAAAGCAAGTACAAGCAAACAAGATGCAAGCAACAAAGTATTGAAAACGTTACTATATAATGATAACTAATAAGAAACAAACGACATGGAAACGATACTTTGAATAAGCAAATAAAACGCTCACAAACGCATTCCATTTTCAAGTCAATTCAAACCTGTATGAGGATTTTCCATAAAATTTGGGACGATCTTCTCTTCAAGTCATAGAAGAAATTCAACTTTATATTAGTCAAATGCACAAAACATCTATCGACCATTTCTCAGCTTTAAAAACAGCAATATTTTTTTAGGATCAATCACTTTTGCTTGAATGCGTCAACTTAAAAAAAAAACACGGAATAAGATGGGACTATTTTCATTCAAAACGACTTTGGGTGAAAAATAGCGAATTGTGTTGCAGATTCATGAAACTTGAGAAGAAAATGTAACATCGATGTCGTCCGAAGAGTGGAAGCAGAAAATGATTTAAATCGGTACCATTAAAAACAAAATACCATCTTCGAAATGAAATTCAAAAATATTTAAAGAACCGGCAGAGCTGCAAAGCTCTAGTTGCCAGTATAAAAAATATGCCTACAAAGCGCATTTTTGTCTACCAAACCAAAAAATGTTTCTAGTTTTCACGCCAAATGCGAAAAATCAACATAAATGCGGGTTTAGAGAATCGCTCTTAGACTTGGGCTCATATTTAGAGAACCAGGTGAGCTGGAAAGCTCCATTTATGTTCGTCGAATAGAGCTCTCTCTAATAATGCGCTATTTTCGATATAAAATATTAATTTAGAAATGTTTCTAGTTTTGAAGCAAAATGAGAAAATTTGAAATGATTGCGGGTTTTTAAAATCGCTCTTCTCTTTTGGCTCATATTTAGAGAACCGGTGGAGCCGCAGAACTTTAGTGGCTAGTGCAGGATAGAGCTCTAAGAAGAGCTCTTTATTATACAAACCACCAATTTAGGATCGTTTCTATTTTTCACGCAAAATTCGAAAATTCTCAATAAATGCGGGTTTTGAGAACCGCTCTTAGATTTGGGCTCATATTTAGAGAACCAGGTGAGCTGGAAAGCTCCATTTATGTTTTCAGGATAGAGCTCTAAAATGCGCTCTTTTCGATATAAAATGTCAATTTAGGAATGTTTCTAGTTTTGTAGAAAAATGAGGTAATTTAAAACTATTGCGGGTTTTTCAAATCGCTCTTAGTTTTTGGCTCATATTTAGAGAACCGGTAGAGCCGCAGAACTCTAGTGGTCAGTACAGGATAGAGCCCTAAGTTATCGCTCTTTATTATATAAACCATCAATTTATGATCATTTCTGGTTTTGGGGCAAAATGCGTTAAAATAAATGCGGGTTTTGAAAACCAATGAAGAAAAGATGAAAAAAGAACGATAAGAATTAAAAAATAATTGAAAAGCGGTGGGCAGTTGAGGATCGTAAGAAATTCCAAAAGAAAATTGACCAATGCCTAAAAAATAAGAAGAACAAGAAAGTAAGTCTTCAGTAAACGAGTATATTTTTCAAGTACATTATTTATCAATTTCTTTAAGTGGAGAAGACCAAAACCTTAAGGTGGAGAAGACCAAAACTTTAAGGTGGAAAGCGAAGCAAAAAAATTCTGCTTGGGTGCTTTCCGAAGTAACAAAAAAAAATTAACTTTTGTTAAAAAAATATTTCCCTAAAGCTCAGAACATTCGGGAAAATGCAGTCAACCATCGGGGCTTAAAACCCTTTAGAAGACCGAAAAGTCCAGAGAAAAATGTGGCTAAATAAGTTTCAAGTGTATTTGAAGCTGGAACATAAATTATAGCTAATTGTGCATAAGGAATCGTATTTAATTTTAGAAATTTATGATCACTTTCGCAATAATAATCCGCAAATCAGAGAAAAAGCGACGGCTTGCAGAGGAATGAAAAACCGTGTTGTTCGCGACTGCTAACAGGAAACTGGAGAAAATTCTGGCTACTAGGAAAAGCTGGGACATTTTTTAACTCGCCCTTTCAATGGAAATTGACCCAGATTTCCCATTGGGTGGATTTTGCCTGTTGAAAGCACCAAAAACTCAACAAACAAACTAAATAAAACAAAGTGCTTTGCTATAAACTATGAAAGCAATCTTCTTCTTTAATGACGCGTTTAGCACTGAATAGATTCTATAGATAGAAGTGCTTTGCTATAAACTATGAAAGCAATCTTCTTTAATGACGCGTTTAGCACTGAATAGATTCTATAGGAATTCTATAGTGGCTTTTTCTTCCAAAAAATTTGAATTTGTAAGCTGTTATTTTTACATACCAGCGTAAGTTTTCTTTGAGAGCAACAAAAATTTGTATGTGCTGCACTGTGTAGAATTTGCCCTTTAAACCCTTTAAACTGAACTGGAAAACCTCCAGAATATTAATGAGCAATTACCTATACTTTCAATTATACCCAAACTGCCTGTAATAAACTGATTGGCATCGGTATGAATAACGTCCACGTATTTAGCGGCACTCCTGTCCAGCCGAACGGGGCGCGCCGCCTTTGCAAAATGGGGCTGCGCTGGATCCAGCCCACTAATTCTACCCATCGTTAAATGAAACTCCTACACCAAAAGGTGGTTAATGTCGCCCTAATGTGCGAGGGGATTAAAATCACTCACGTCCTGAAGTGTATATCCGACGTACCCGCACATGTGGGCACCTAAAGAGTGTCCGATGCAGTGGACACGGTCCAAATTCTGGTCAGGAATGTACTGGGCAATGTCGTGTAATAAATGCGCAGTCATTGAGCCTAAATCGAGGGAGGCAATTTAAATGCAGCCCTCAAAAATGCGAATTTGGGGGTTTTACCAATTAGTCTAATATTTGCCACAGCTTGAGCATAAGGCGGACTGGAGCCTCCATGCCAGTCGATTACCAGCACGCTGCAGTCCTCTAAATCCAAAAGTTGTTGAGTTACTTTGTAAATCTGCAAACGCTCGCAATTATAATCCAGTTGATCAGGAACCGTCCAATATCTACCCAATCTATAACTCCGCCCTCCATATATCCGTGTGTTATAAGGAAAATAGGCTTATGTGGATCGATGCCGGAATTGGCCACATAGTCAAACGCATTTAGATCTATCAAGCTGTACTTTATCCGATTTTTCCGGGTGTAAAGGAGGTAATTGGGCTCAATCTGCCGTGTAAAGAATACACATTTAAACCACTTTCTTTAAGTGAAGGAAGACACTTACATCGTCTAATGCATTCGGGAAATACGACACAGGTCTATTTTCGGAAGTCCATGGGGGCGACAATTCAAAACACCCATAAATCCCATAGCATTTTCGTGTGTTGGATTCTTTGAAAAATTAATTAACACTCCAACCAAACTAGGCCAATAATGTGGAACTCACCCTTTCCGATCCGCATGTAGTAATAACTATAGGAACTTTCATCCTGCACAATACTTTGATTTAATACATACATAAGCGTGTGGAATATAATTGATCCATTCTGAGGCACCACAGTCACCATTATTTTGCGGGCCAAAAGCCTTCCGATTGCGAGATAAAGTCGTGTAAAAAGCCCGTGCAAGACTCACAATCAATTGAAAATTTGTCAATTCTTGATAAGTAAACAGTTGACGTGAACGCATTTCTTTCTTATCTTAATGGCCAAAGTCTAGAGGTCATCTGGGTCTTCAAAGACGAAAATGGCCAGAATAAAAGTGTGTATCATCGATTTACAACTAGCAATCTAGTGTTGATTGTAGTTACCTCTGCATCAATACCCGACAATAATTGATGAATTAGCGCGCTGGATCCATCTCATCCATAAGATAAGTTTATGCAATTTTTCAGATCTAACACGAATTTGGGTAAAAAACACAACCACTTGAAGAGTTTCAATTAAATTTTTAATGCAGCAAAACCATATATGGTGCTTAATCACAGTAGGTATAAAAAATGTTATAAAGCATGTTACGTTTCAAAAAAATTGTGAGTGACCAAGACGAAAGTTCTGCTCAAATTTTTTAAATATGAATTTAAAATAAAAATATTAAACACGGAACTATCAAACTGTGACAGTCATTTTTTAAAATCAAACACCCTATATATGTTTAGCCATTCGAATAGGATTTTATTCCTGATTTTAAAAATATACAGAATGTCCCGTAAGCACATGATCAAAAGGGTACTGCGATATTATTTGCATCAAAAGAAGACGATCTGACCTAACTTTTATTAACAGAAAATGCCTGGCTCCTCTGTTATTGATGGTCAAAGTTCTTCCAAAAAATATCTTTTTTGAAATATCAGGACAATGGTACGATGTATTTTAGTGAAACTCGCTGTGAATTTGTTCTTATGTAGCAGGCACATTTTTGCATTTGCAAAATATTATATACATAAAATATATATATATACAGGGTGTCCCGTAAGCTCATGATCAAAAGAGTACTGCGATATTCTTTGGACCAATAGAAGACGATCTGACCTAAAAAAAATATTTTTGTTTCCTTGCCACTTAACAATGTTAGGCATTACGGGACATTACGAGCTTACGGGACACCCTGTATATACATGTATATATAAAATTCACAGCGAGTTTCACTAAAATACATCGTACCATTCTTCCGATTTTTCAAAAAAGATAATTTTTTGGAAGAACTTTGATTTGAACTTGATAGCAGAGGAGCCAGGCGTTTTTTGTTAATAAAAGTTAGGACAGGTCAGATTCTTTTAATCCAAAGAATATCGCAGTACCCTTTTGACCATGTGCTTACGGGACACCCTGTATACTTTACCTATAGTGGATGCATTTTAGGATATTAATATTAATCATAACCAATATATTCAAAACGTTATCGGTAAAATTCAAGTAGATTATAGAGCATGTCTAGCGTTAAACGGAGGTCATATACAAAATCCGCGACTTTAATGATTTTGTTTTATTTATTTATTTGTTTAGACATTTATAAGAGCAATCAATTCCGTTATGTTATCTTTCTATAGTTTTTGTGTCATTTCAGGCCACTTTTGCTTGCTGCTAGGTAAATATATATTTCTGAAATCACGATTTTCAAATTTTGACATTTCCGTGTTTCATATTTTTATTTTAGTCACATTTAAAAAAATTGAGTTAAAATAAACAACTTTTGTTATGGTCACTTTCACAATTTTTTCGAAGTAAACAATCTAGAAGGGGGTCAACTTATGAGAAAACACCCTGTACATACATTGTTAAGTTTTGAAATCAACCGGTCTGATTGACCAGATTAATACACTAATGTTTATACAAAATAAAACAATTAAGTGACAAGCTAGGAAAAATTGGTCGTCCTTAGGTGCTGTTTAATTACATTGTAACCGTCGTATAAGCTGAATTGGCGAAAGAGCTCCAATAAGGATCTGCAGATTCTATCCGTGTTGAATGACACTCCGAGATTTTTTTCTGCAGCACACAAATAAAATTTAAACACATTAATATGGATCAAAAAACACAAACCAGAAAAAAATGGAGAGAATAAAAATCGAAAGCACAAAAACAACATTATTGAGACAGAACAAGAAATAATAGGAAAGGAAGACCGTAGGAAGAAAAAGAGCTGCATGAGAGGACAAGAAAACCAGTGGCGGCGCTAGGAGTGGGCGAGGTTGGGCGAGCACTCAACCAAAATTTGTCTCGTCCAACCACTTTTAACCAGTTTTTAAGTACTAAATGATAATTATGATATTCTTATCTTTCCTGGGTCTCAGTCAAAGTGTGAAGTAAAAATTTTGAAACATCGTTTATTTCGTTAAGTTTCGGCGAGACAACAGCGCCATCATCAGATTTAAAATTTACACACACTGATGATTGGTAACAATCAACGTCCTTTTACGCAACACATTACTTCATTACATTTACATTCAAGAAGGCAAAGACCTAAAAGGACGTTGATTTTTACCTATCATGAGTTTGTGTAAATTTTAAATCTGATGATGGCGCTGTTACCTCGCCGAAACTTAACGAAATAAACGATGTTTCAAAATTTTTACTTCACACTTTGATTGAGACCCAGGAAAGATAAGAATATCATAACAAGTACACACAGTCAGGAAAATAAATCAGACTAAATGTTAATAAAATATTTTCTAATCTAAATATGGGTACTTGTTTCCTGCTAGGACAAAAGCCAAGGATTTTCATATAGAGGAAAAAGAAGTCATTGCATGAGCTTTCAAGACACCCGGTCTTAGCAAGTTTTCCCAAAAAACAGTATGGTTGTGATCTTCGTAGTTTTAAGTCCATCAATTATATTGTGCATCCTTGGATCAAGTACAGCATTTTCAAAGATTCTGTATTCCATTTCCCCTTGTAGATTTTTCTTCAAACAAGGTGGAATCAGCAGTTTGAGTTTTGTTACTGAGATATAACACATAGCATTATAGCAATTAACCCAGAGCGGGATTAAAGCTTAAGGAATGTGGATAACAATAAAAGTTCCTCACCCTCAAAGTTAAAAGACATCAAATGGACGGCATTCGGATTGCTTTGGCTTATTAAATGTAATTCGCCAAGAAGCACTTCCAACGGCCGTACAAACGCAGCTTCATCCTGCAACTCCCAACCAGACAACACTAATTTATCTAGACAAACCTGATTAAATACCTCGTCCGGTTTTAGAGCGCAGAAACACATCATTAAGGAAAATGGCACGGGTTTTTTATCCACAATAATTTGGCTCACGTTCTGGAGCAGCCGAAGTAAGAAGCTCTGCAATACATTGCCATCTTGCAGTTGCCTGCGACTTGATGCAGTGGCTACTTCTAAAAACCTCAATTAATTAATATGAAATACTCATCTGCATCTTCAGATCCAAATGTTGCTGTACCTATTAACCCAAGAGGAGGTCCGCAAAGTTTACCGGTTACAATTGCCGTAGACAGCGCATACGACACGACAAATGCATCATAAGCACCAATTTGGAGGGTTTTTGAGGAACTGAAACAACATTAGATTGGACAAGTGGAGAACGGACAAAATCGCTATCGTGAAACGAAAACATGCATGCTTCAACGGTAAGTTTCGGTTGTTTATTTCACTTGTCCCTCGAAGACCATAGTTTTCCTTACCTTATGAACAATCTGTGATAGGGACCCAACACCCAACATTGGGAAACACCAACATAAAACTTAACAGAAAAAACACAAAAAGAAAATAAATAGTCCCGTTTATTCTTGAAAAAACATAAAGAAAAATGTAATTCTACAAATTAAACAATATTTATTGGCTCTTACAACTATAACTTACACATATTTACATACTACGGTGTGTTATTACAAAATGTACAATTTGATTTATATGCTTGGTTGAAACGTTGCGAACAGTTAATTTACTTCAGTGTTCACACAACACAATTCACAATTCAAATAATGGGAATGTCGAACCAAAACAGTAATTTTAGGGAAAATAAAAGCCATAACATTTCAACTAAAACGTTCCAGGATATTAAAGTGTACTAAATAACCCCTTTATAAAAATATTGCTTACTATATAATAGAATTGAATAGACTTAACAATTTACTGCACGGGAAAAACAATAAATATCTAATTAGACAATTTAATTAACGTACCCTAATTATTCACAATTTAATATGTACATACACCAACAAATTCCCCCGACTTCCAGGCCATATTTGGGATAATAATTATTTTATTTTTGCCGCACCATCGACTACTAGCATTTCCCAAATAAGGAATCTATTCAATACTACTGTCAATCAGCGAATCTGATTTTTTGTGATAAATAGAAGGAACCAATAAGAAAGCGCGAGAAGAAACAATAAAAAATTAAAAACACTAGTACGGAGTACGTGTTTTCGTGACCTTTAATAGTGCAAAGTAATGTGTTTCGTTATAGTTTATTATTAAAATTTACTTTCATTGAAATTAATTTAAAAAATGCTTAATATGTCGAGAGGAACATAAATTGTATTGTTGTAACAAAGGACGGAGTGACTAAGTTGTAAAGAATTAAACCTGAGAAATCGCAATATCCGCCAAATAGAAACAATCAGCGATAACGTTTTTCCGCAATTCTCTCAGTTGAAGCAAAAATCAAATATACTTGCTACCTTTAGGCACTTTACTTCAAATCCCTCCATATCCCACATAAAATCAATAAAACGACTAGTTTTCACAATGTATCATAACAAAAAAAAACAGAAGGCCCTGTATAGGATAAATATTTAGATTTTAACATTAGATCAAGCTGAGGCCCACCTGATTTAATATTATTACTCCGGATTACCACAAGGAGGTAACCATATCACAAATCATGCATGTGTCTGCACATATTTTAGACATAATGCATCCTAGGAACAAGACAGGCCTTTGATATTGCTGCGCAACTCACCCGCCTTCGTTCTCCTCTCCTTTTTCTCCCGTCTTGTCCGTTCGCGACACCAAAGGTGGTTTACCAGGAGGCAGATTAAGGATGCTCTCTTGCTGTTCGCGTATTTGACGCTTGCGTTTCTTGCTCCACAGCTCGTGACAGTCTTGCCACGTAGGCAGTTCTGGAGCTTGAATCCTGAAAACGCCAAACCATTAAAACACTGATACGCAACGAGAAAAGGCAAACTTACTGATCGGGATTGATCGTCTTTAACCATGAACTTTTCAAAGCATCTTCAGCAGTTATCCGGCGATCGGGATCCAGCTCTAGCATTTTGTCCAATAGATCTAAAGCGGGAGTGGGCATAAATACGAAATCCTCTCTCAGCTTTCGCCTGTGCAACTTGTTCGGCTTTAAGGCATGGAAAAGGGGCAATTTAATTACAGAAGGCCAAACCGCAGGCGTAGGTGTTCCGCATACTTTCGATATCCGATCTAATTGGGCCATTTCCGCGTTCGCCTGTAAGTAAAAAAGCAGTGTAACTTTTCTTAACTTTCAGCAATAGTTTCTCAAGCAGTTTCTTACCTGAAATAGCGGCTTTTTAAGAAACAGTTCCCCCAGAATGCACCCACAACTCCAAATATCGATTGCGGGGCCATATCTTTCCTCCCCAAGCAGCAGCTCCGGAGGTCGATACCATAAAGTGATTACTTTATTAGTATATGGGCGCTGTCGATCTTCAGCGTTGTACAAGCGGGCTAATCCAAAGTCCGCAAGTTTTACTTCGCCCCTTTAAACGATTCCAATTATTTAAGAAAATTTGCCCACCAGATCGTTTCCTACTTGTTGTTCATTAAAATGTTGCTGCACTTGATATCGCGGTGCAGGAAGTTCTTTTTATGGCAGTAGTTCAGCCCGTCCAACAACTGCTTCATGATGCAGGCATTATTCATTTCATTAAAATCCACCATTCCGGATTCCAACAAGCCCATCAAGTCATGATCCATATACTCAAAAACTAAGTAAAATGATCCTTTTTCCTGCAACAATAAAGTAGAGTTGTACAAAGTGAATGATGAATTAAGGGCAGCGGAAATTACCTTCCTGAAGTCAATAGCATCTTGTTTGTCTGTTACAATTTCGCGTAGGTTCACAATGTTCTTGTGATTGAGTTGCCGCAAAATCTTAATCTCGCGAACGGCCGTAATCGGAAAACCTTCTTTCTCGTTTTCCAACCGCACCTTTTTCAATGCTACCAGTTCGTTTGCGTGGACGTCTTTCGCTTTGTACACTTGGCCGTATGTTCCTGGAGATACGAAATTTTCAAAGGTTCAAATTTTTGCTTCCTATTGTCAATTACCTTCTCCGATCTGCGCGATCACCTCGAACATATCAACGCACCGTTCACCCCAATCTTTGCCACTCATTTGGAAGTTTCGAGACGTCCGTCTCCTGAGTATTCTGGGACGCTTCACGAATTTGGCCTTTGAATTAGGTTTGAACTTCTCCAATTTATTCATTGGTACAATTCTTGGAGGCGTAGATGTGTTTTCATCGTCATCACCGCTGAGCTCATCCGTTCCCGGTACAACTGCAAATTCAGAAAAATTACATACAAAAAATTGAAGTGTGATAAACACATCATGAATTTTGATTGTTGGTATTTAAACGGCCCTTTTTTTTTGCGAAAAAAATCTACTAACCTGGTGGCATTGGTAGGTCTTTAACACTCTTCCTGGTACTCAAGGGAGGTGTTTTTTCTTTCTTTGGTGAGGGTATTGGAGGCGATGGGCTACTAGGGGGCGATTCAATAGCTTCCAGCCTGTAACAACCAAAAGGCTTAGCAAATTTTTAAAAAAGCTTAAAAAATCACTCACTCTGTTTCGTCCATTCCTGGAGGCATGGGTAGTTTCGTAATACTCTTAGGCTTAATCTTGAAAAAGTGATTCGGTTTTGCAGGTACATGTTGCGGCATCGGTGGCCTGACAACTGGTAGAGGTGCGGCAGGTTGCAATGGTTTAACCGGTGGCGCAACAGTGGAGTTGTTTTGCTGTAAACAGTTTCAGTTTTAAACGGTTTCAATAAACACCCTTGGAAAATACTACCTGTTCGGTGCTCCTACTGTTTGTAGCCACTACGTCGTTAGTTTTTGGTACGGTTTTGGGCGAAGCATCCGGAATTGGAATATCGTCAATGTCCATAGGTATGGAAACCGTGTTTGAGTAGTCGTTTTCAGGCTTACTATCCACGTCGTCATCCACATCATACACTTCCGAACTCTGAAAAATTTTTATATTGGTACTTCGTGTTAAACTGGCATAGAACAGTGACTTACTATATTAGCTTTAGCTGCCTTTTCCGACTTCATGTTCTGTTCTAGTTTTTTCAGTTCTTGCTCTCGCTTGTGTCGGTCTTTAACCAACTCGGCAAAAAGACTTGTGTCTGTAATTTTGTTCGATAATTGGGACGCTCTTATCGAATGAGGTGAGGGGCTTCGATGACGATGCCTGAAAAGTTTCTTGAATTTGTAGACACGCTTTAAATGACTTTCAAAAAGAAATACCTTGGGCTTTTATCTCTCCTGGGACTCCTGGATTTATGTCTTTTGCTTCTAGAATTTCTACTAGGTGATGGACTATAATGCTTGCTTCTACTATAACTAGGCGATCTAGATCTTTTCATAGCTACAGGGCTGCGGTTTCTGAATAATTATCGAATGGATTAACAGAAATGTTAAACTTTGAGACCGTCCGGATATTACCTTGAGAGGGCCATTTTTTCTCTGGCCTTTTCTTTATCTCGCTTGTGTTTTCTATGTGCCTCCCTCCGCCGTTTACTATTAGGCGATATCGACCTATGTTTGTGATTGCTGTGAAGTACATCGGGAGTGAATGTTCTAGAAAATGGGCGCCGTTGGCTTACTTGTTACCGATTTTTCAGCCGTTGTAAAAACTTACCTTGGAACAGGTGAATGTCGCGTATAATCGTCAACAACCATCTGCGGGCTCAGTTCCCTCACTATTGTAATGCTGTGATTAGATAGAGGCCTGGAAGATTTTTTTTTCAATAAAATAAAGAAGTTAAAAACGAACTAAACTATTACCTGCTAGAATGGTGTGGATGTACAGGTGGAGGTGTATGAGCGGTGTCTCTTGAGTAATCCGTGTGATAATCTCTATAAACACGCAAAGGAGGTGTTGCAGAGGGAGGAGAAACGGCTTCAGGTGACGCAATATGACTGTCGTTCGATACTGGTGAACATGCACCAGGGTCAATTTTGGTATCTAGAACTGAAGGATTATCACTTCTACATGATTCAAAGTTGTTTTTTCAAAAGTTGATTTTTCGAGTTGTCTGCAAATATTTATTACCTGGGCTATCAGTAACCATTCCATAATAGTCTGAGATTGCAAGGAAGTAATGGGAATTAAACACGATTTATTTAATTCCGGTTAATATGTTAATTGAAAGAGTTTTACCTTCAACTTGCGAGCTATTCTCTGCAGCTTCCCAGTCATCAATCACCTCTGCTTCTCTCGGCCTTTGCGGCACAATTTTCGGCGGCGTTTTTGGGCTGCTCTCTGGTGATTCAACTATAAGAACATCTAATCCAGTCAAGTGAGCCAGTTGTCAAAACAAAGAATTAATGTACCAACCTGATTCGCTGTCACTCTCCTCTGAACTGCTTTTAGATTTTTTTTTCTTTTTTTTCTTTTTGGCCTTTTTACTCTCCCGCTTCTTGTGTTTTTTATCTTTCCGCTTCTTTTTCCTCTTCTCCACAGTTTGAAAATCTTCAATCTGATAAGGAGATATCACTTCGACTATTCTTCGCCTTAGTTCGCTAGACTTTGAAGATTCTGAAGCAGATAGATGTCGTTCCCTTGATGTTATTAGCATTGGAGGAGTCGGTGAACGTGGCATTAATAATGGCTCTAATCGATGACGACGACCTAATATAGATAAGAGCGTTTTTTAAAACACGCGTTAATCGTGAATTTCCGCATTTTCTCTGAACACTAGAAACATTCTTAAGATGATGTTTTATACAAAAAGATCGCATTTTGGAGCTCTAATCCGCAATGGCAACTAAAGCTTTGCAGCGTATGTTCTCTAAATGTGCGTCAAATAGTACGAGTGGTTAACAAAACCCGCTTAAATTCTGAATTTTAGCATTTTGCATTAAAACTAGAAACATTACTGCGTTGAAATTTCATATAAAAAAGATAACATTTTAGGGTTCTATTCAGCAGCAGCAACTAGACCTTGGAAGCTCGATCGGTTCTCTAAATATGAGTACAAAACAAAGAGCAGCTTCCCGAATCCGGTTAAATATTGAATTTTGGAATTTTGCGTGAAAACCAGAAATATTTCTAAAATGATCTTTGGTAGGAAAAAATGTACAATTTAAGGCTCTATCCCGCAATGACAACTAGAGCTTTGCTGCTCGCCCGGTTCTCTAAATATGAGCCAGAAACTAAGAGCGATTTTAAAACCCCGCAATAATTTTAAATTTTCACATTTTGCTTCAAAACTAGAAACATTCCTAAATTACTATTTATATTGAAAAGAGCGCATTTTAGAGCTCTATCCTTCAAATAAAATTGGAGCTCTCCAGCTCACCTGGTTCTCTAAATATGAGCCCAAGTCTAAGAGCGGTTCTTAAAACCCGCATTCATTTTGAAGTTTCGCATTTTTCGTGAAAACTAGAAACGATTCTAACTTGATTTATATAATAAAGAGCGAATTTTAGGGCTCTATCCCGCAATGGCAACTAGAGCTTTGCAGGTCGACCGGTTTCTTCAATACGAGCGAAAAACTAAGAGCGGTTTGTAAAACCCGCAATAATTTTGAATTTTCTCATTTTGCGTGAAAACTGGGAACATTCCTAATATTACGTTTGATATAAAAACGAGCCTATTTTAGGGCTCCATTCAGTAATAGCAACTAGAGCTTGGCAGCTCGACGGGTTCTCTAAATGTAAACCAAAGACTACAAGCGGTTTACAAAACCCGCTTAAATTTAGTAATTTTGGATGAAAACTTGAAATATTCCTAGAATGATGTTTTATATAAATAAGAGAGCATTTTAGAGCTCTGTTCCGCAATAGCAACTAGAGCTTTGCAGCTCGACCGGCTCTATATATATGCTAAAGGCTAAGACCGATTTTTCCAATTACTACAACAGATAGAGCTCCATAAACGGCTTAGACATACCTGGGGACCGCATGAGCATCGCTGTAGATCTGGCCAAATACATTTCCTCCATGTATGTTCTACGGTGTTCCCTGTGCATGGCAGTTGAATATTGTTCCTCCGTGAAGTCTACAAAGTCCCCAACTTCTCCTTCTTCTGTATTGCTCACCGCTTCGCCGGCTTCCTCACCACTCTGTATCTCACCGGCTTCGGGTTCGGACAAATCTTCCGAGCTTACATCCGAATATTCTACAAGAGGCTTAGCTGTTACCGAGGTAGCAACACCATCTCTAATTTTGCGCTTTTTCGATTTTTTCGTTTTCTCAGACTTTCCATGTCGACGACTATCCATTTTACAACGTCTGTGGCCCCGTGCAGCTCATAATAGCTGGCATTCCTTTGGAAGGGCTCCTAGACAAATGCCAAAATGCAGTGTCACAGAATGAGGTTAAGTCTGGCTAACCTAAACATGCACGCGCGGAGACGAGAGTTGGGGGCGAATGGTCTGATTTGAGATTAGGGGGAATGTTTATTTTGAAGCCCCTGGATAGTCTCACGTGTAGATTTGAGGAGTAAATGTGAGGGCTTGCAGTAGAAAAGTGATGTTGACATTTTCGACCATGTCAATAAAAATAAAATGGCGATGAATAGTTCGTGATGAAAGGGTGGGTCTGATGGAAATCGCAATTTCTCCTAATTTTCAATAGTTTGTTGGAGTGGAAACAATCAGTTCTTACCTCAATTTCAACTCCCGATGTGGCTGCTCCTTAACCAACTCACTAATACAACACAACACTCAACTGGAGTCACCTTTTTACTTGGGACAAGCCTGCTTGGGACTTCTTGTCTAAGGCCTCTTTTCACGTGAATTTATTCCGTTTAGAATTGTCTTTGACTAATTGAGCTTTATTTCAACATGTACATCTATAGATGTTTCATAGGTCATAAAGATTTATTTAGATTTTTATTCTCTAGCGATCCATACAAAACGCCATTTTTGTATCCTCGTTTGCCTCGTATTTGCCGAGAGCCGAGACGAACGTATCCGGGCGGCGTTGCCGCTAATAGCACAAAAATTATCCTGAAGCTCTAAGGAAATTGTGTTAAAAGCTCTTATATTGGCTAATTGCTAGAATTAATATGAGCTTGTGAGCAAAAAAAATTATCAGCTCCCGAAGCGTGCGATAGGAGAGGAGTTAAGTTAGTTATGTTATCAGCAATAGGAAAAGTTGCACTGATCTTTTGGGGCTCCTTGATGAAATCGGCCTAACGGCAACAGGGGCATTTGTCAGCAATTACTGTTTCCAATTTGATCCCTAGATGGCCAGACAAGGACAACATCCCCGAGGGGGATGTTCTGTGGACGGATCCTGCAACTTTTCTATAGCATTTAAGAAGCTTTTGTGCGTTTTACTCACATAATCTGGCATAGATTTTACGATAAATTTGTTCAATTAATTAATTAAAAATTTGCTTAAAACTCCAGTTTTAGCCCAACTCACAAAAATTAAGAATTTGCACCATATTTATGAAACTTTGTCTTTATAAATTCAACTGTTCGTGATTTATCGTTAGTTTCAATGTCCTACTTGTAATCTTTTGAAACATGTGAATTTTTAGGAAAAATAGCGCATTTGATTTGAAGTGGACAAAAAACTGATTTTTGGACGATTTCTAGGACGGGAAAGTAGTCTTTGGGCATCAAATAATCGAAAAATTGTTCAAGTATTGCCTTCTTCGCAAATAAGAAAACCCTGGAATTACAGATTGTTTACAGTCTGCACAAAACAGGGAATAAAAACCTCAGTCAAAAAAATATTTAGTATTAAAGCGTGTTGAGCAAGAGCAGCCTTTTTGCAGAAAACTCCCGTGGATCGTCTATGAAGGGCCGAAATCTTTAGTAAATACCCAAAAAAAGTTTACCGAGAAAGTTGTCATTGGGCATCAAAGAATCGAAAAGTTGTTCAAGTATTTTGCTTCTTCGCAAATAAGAAAACCCTGGAATTAAAGAGTGTTTACAGTCTGCACAAAACAGTGAATAAAAACTTCAGTCAAAAATTTTTTTATTATTAAAGTGTGTTGAGCAAGAGCAGCCTTTTTGCACAAAACTCCAGAGACCTGTCTATGATGGGCCGAAATCTTTAGTAAATACCCAAAAAAAGTTTACCGAGAAAGTAGTCTTTGGGCATCAAAGAATCGAAAAGTTGTTCAAGTATTTTGCTTCTTCGCAAATGAGAAAACTCTGGAATTACAGATTGTTTACAGTCTGCACAAAACAGCGAATAAAAACCTCAGTCAAAAAAATCTTTAGTATTAAAGTGTCTTGAGCAAGAGCAGCCTTTTTGCACAAAACTACCGAGGACTGTCTATGATGGGCCGAAATCTTTAGTAAATACTCAAAAAAGTTTACCGAGAAAGTAGTCTTTGGG